TTTGGCGCGCATGGGCGGAAGCAGCGGCGACGAAATTTGAGAATTGTGCGACGAAGCAGTGTGTGTGCTACACGCGACGGTTGGCGGCGAGGCCAGCTTCGTGTGTTCGCGAAGGGTGAAGAAATCATCGCGATCCGCAGCAGCTTCGTTCGAGGAGGCGCGGGGGCACCACCTTGGGATTACGTACAGCGGAAGGTTGTTGAAAGAAGTCAAGAGTGAGGAGGAAGCTGAAAGAGCCGTCATCCATATCATCGCCTGCGAACTTGGGAGTAGAAAAGCAGAGAGGAGCATTCTCAATTGCAACCAGTTACTTCTATCTCTCGCTGTGTGTCCCTCGCTTAGCATTTTCTCACGCTCCTTCAGCCAGAATTTCAGTCGCCTCGTCGATTTCGGCGCCGGACTTCGAGCTCTAGATTCTGACCTCCTGAGCGACTATGGCTAGTCCCGCTTCCAAGATTGTTGCGAGCATAAGCGGTGCTGCTGCCGGCCTGCTGGTCTCGTATGGTTATCAAGGTTCCAATCAGGTAATACTCGCTCACCTCTTGTCGTCGTCACTCATACCGCAGATTTTCACCTCCGTTCTTCGCTCCGCCAGCCTTTTCAACACGTAATTTCTCAGGACAGACTTTCTAAAGCCTCGCCATGATGTTGTGTTCTGCAGACGAAAGTCTCCAATTGCCAAGCCGTAGCGACGACCGCCGACGCCGCTCCATCGTCGGCCTCGCAGAAGCCTCAGAAGCCGGTGGCTCCTATCCGCTGCGCCATCGAGCTTGACGGACTCGAGCTCTTCGAGACCCTCGCTCGGTGACCGGAGACTCGTTTTCCTCATCACAACATGTCGGGAACGCATGATTTCTGTGAACGACAAGTTTTTTTTTAAGAACGGCAACCGGGAGGGGATGACAGTGAGCCGGGGTGTTATTGATTAGTTGTAGAGAAGCTGTGGTTAGATCGCGAAGGACTCAACCGCTTTAGGCTGCTGCAAGTCTGGGGGGCGAAGTCGGCGGGGGAGATTTGAAGGCCTGGGCAGAACAAAAGAAAAGTTGGTGGTCAGCGGCGGTTTTGTTGCTGCTATACACGACGTGTCGCGCTCGTCATTATTCGGACCTGGTCATGCTTCCTCGGTGGCCCTGGTCTTCAATTTTGTAGCTAGGTTCCTCCCCTGTCTTTGCGTACATATCCCCCTTCATTATTATCGGTTATAGGGAGACTTCCTTTCACGTATCTCCGCACCACAAAGATTCCGCTTTCTAAGAATTGCACCTTGCATGCATTCCGTGTTCCAGGCGGGCAGGAGTTTCCATGGTAAAGGAATCAAATCATGCAAATAATAATGAAAATAATTGATAATATCATTTGCATTACTCCCCTTCATACTCTACCAGTACATAAAGCGGCTTTGATCCTAGCTTCTCACGTCCCTGAAACTCAAAGCAAAGGAGGATACGATAAAAGATATGAATTAAAGCCAATCTAGCTCTTGTAAGAAACAGAAACACAGATTCAAAAAAGACAACCATACCTTCAAATCAGGAAGCTCAATGACGCATGTACACTCTTCCACTTGTGCTCCAGTTCGCTCTGAAAAGAACAAAGTGTGTATGCGGACCAAGGGGAACGTGTTCGCGCGGGCGCAAGGGAGAGAGCGGGAGTGAGTGGGCAACGGGGAGCAAGAGAACGGGAAAAGGTCAAAGGAGGGGTGGGGGACGGAGGAAAACGGGAGCAGGAACAGTTGACAAATGAGTTGGGGGAGGAGAACGAGCACAAAGACGAGGGGAGGGCTGCAGCATCAATGAACTCGGCCAAGCGTAGGGATGACCTCAATCCTATTGACAGATGTTACCAGCACCACAGCGTACCTATCAAGCGAATGCCAGCGCCGAGAGTTCCCCCTGTAGCCACAAGATCGTCCACCAGCAGAACCTTGTCCTCCGGCCCCACCGCCCCCAGATGCATCTCGATCTTATCCGTTCCATACTCCAACGCATACTCCTCGCTGATCGTCGCGCCTGTGAGGAGGGAAGAAGTGGAGAGGCGATACCCAGTGAGAAGCCGAACTGACAACGAGGAGCATTGCATTGCAATCTCATCCGACCCATCCCATACTCCAACGCATACTCCTCGCTGGTCGTCGCGCTTGAGAGGAGGGAAAAAGGTGGAGAGGGAATAACCAGTGAGAAGCCTGACATGGAGGAGCATTGCACTCTTATCCAGGTACGTATTCTTCATGATTTGACCTGACCGAAGGGAAGGAACAGGATCGACAGGGATGGGAAATGGGGGGGTTAATGGGTTCGTATGAATGAGTGGAAGAAAAATATGTGAGCCGTAAGCCCGGCCAAGCCCGGACGTAATGTGTAGATACAACTCCTACGAAATGTTTAGTATTATACATGTGGTTTATGTTCTACAGATTATTGGAGCTCTGAGCGACTCGGTTGGTTTTCGTGAGGGTCCCTGACCAGTGTGACTGGACGACAAATGTGCTGCTGACCTGGAAGCTTCCGTGGTTTCCGGAGGCACACGAACTTGGCGCCAATGGCGAGAGCAATTGGCGGGCCGAAGATGAAACCCCGTGCTTCGATTCCTGATGAAAATATTACCAAAAGCCAAGGGTTCAGAAACGTCAGGGTTTAGGAGATAAGACAGGTGAACGTTTTTTTACTTTGATGAATGAGTGCGATTAGGGGGATAACAGTACGCAGAAACCAACCGGCTTTAGTAGTGTCAAATGCCTGGAAGCTACAAAAGGAATATGTGAACACTTCAAAAGCGTAACCGTCATAAACGGAGTAACTGTGCTAAAACGCGTACCAGCGACGGCGGTGTAGCCCTTGTCCTTGTAGCGCTCGACGAACATGTCGATGCAGTCCTGGAACGCCTTGGGCTCCAGCAGCAGCGTCGTCACGTCGCGAAACATGATGCCTGAAACAAACATCAATGTCACGCAATTTTTGCCCTGAAAACAGTCTTGGCAAGAAGAGCGTCACGGAACATCGTCCGTGCATCCAAGGAAGGATAATCATCACCACCAGACGCTGCATTGCATAATCGCTAAAAATACACGCATTGAGGAATAGCGCGAACCACGGAGGCGCTCACCCTTCTTAGGCCAATCAGGGATGGCTCGGATGGACTTCTTAATCCCTTCCACCCGGCTATCTCCGTCCCTGTCGGCCGACATCGTCGTTTGCGGGTGAGTAAAAGCTGGTCGGTAAGTGAACGGCGCTAACTTAGGCAGCAGAAGGGAGATCGGGTGCACGCGGAGAAGGGACGACCTCGCACGCCAGAGCATAAACTGCTTATGGAAGGGCTCGAGGTGAAAAAAATGTGCGAAATAGGCGTCGCCTGGACCCTGATTGCTGGTTCGCTAGGATCACCTTATCGGTTTCGTGTTCCACGCTGATGGATTTTGTGTCTCACGTTTTAAGCGACAAACACCGCTATGCAACGTCAGGTACCGAACGCGCTAAACAACTCGTCGTCGTCGGGTGAAGGAACTCATTGTTACACTCCTCCTCCCTCGCTTCTAAAGGCGTTTTGGGGGGCAAACTCTTCAGGGCTTTGGTCCCATCGAAAAGAATAACGCGTGACCCAGAAATTGTACAGTAGTTAGAAGGTTGTTTGAGAAACACTATTCGATGCAGGGGTTGACTTGACACCAAGTTGAACGTTCATAGTTGGCTCGGCGACGCGTAAAAGAGGTGAGGATGATGACACGTCATATGACACGACACAACGTCGAGGCTCGGCTTCTCTCATCTGATGGCTGACACGAGCCACAGATTACCAGTTGTGTGGGAACCACTCCCCTCGCGCTGAGCTGAAACCCAAGCCGCCACTTGAGGAGGAGAACAAACGAGTCTCGCTATTGGACAAATATTATCCAATTAAACGTAGAAGCGTTTAGAGGAGGAATCAGCCCCAAACACGGGTCGATCCACTGAATCCCGTCCAGGTCCGTGAAGGTTTTTGTTCGCTCCGCGATCTAAACCACTGTACACCCTGCTTCTCGCCATGAAAAAAAAACCAGGCGTAACTGGATGGTTGACTTATTCATATTCACATTTTTGCAGAAATTTAAATTCGCGTATAGAACTGTGACTCTAAATTCAAAACTGACTATAAGAATGAAACGAAACTGTCCATAATCGCATAAGTTTTCATTTTCACGCTCTCTTCTTTTCGCGGCGATTTTGTAGTTTCCTTCCTCTCGTTGCTTTACAAGTTCCTTTCCTCGTCACGTATTAGTTAGGAGACCATCCAAGCTACCAGGCTGGAATGGAGGGAATGGTTGCTCCTGCTTCAGTCGGTCCCGCTACTACATCTGCTCCAGTACACGCCCTTATCCAACGTGCAAATCGACTATTGACACGTGTCGAGAACTTGCCTCCCAGCAAGCTCAGCGCAGAGTGCCGCCGTCGCCTCATTAAGCTCATCTCTCGCGAGCGGCACTTCCTGTCCTCGATATTGGCGAAGCGGCTACAAAGGCAGGTGATTGTAACGGATTCAGGCGATGGTGGTAATGGAAATCGTTGACGCGCGGCACAAGTAGTAGACTCCATATATGCCGGTGGTGGTGAGATTCGAGCGTTCATTTTTTAGGCGCCTCAATATTAGACTCCTTCCACCTGAGGCGTCCACCTGAGGCGTCCACCTGAGGCGTCCACCTGAGGCGTCCACCTGAGGCGTCCACCTGAGGCGTCCACCTGAGGCGTCCACATGACAAGCGGGTGGTGGTGGGATCCACGCGACTGATGCAAGCATGCGTGATCGTGACCGCCTCTGTAGCCCTTTAAAAAGTTTTAACGAATAACTGAAACGCATTATAAGTATACATAAATCATTCAGAGTCGAGGATGCATTCTTCTCGCCAACATTTTAGAGGATGGTAAGCAACTTCCCCCCTCCCCATCCCCTTGCGAACTAATACTCACGCCCTGTTTCTTCCCCCCTCTCACCCCTTCTTCCCCTCCGATACCAGTTCCAACCTCCCCCACATGGAGACGATCGTTGCCGCCCTGTGCCACCCGCTGGTCACTCAGGTGTCTGCCGCCATGACGCACTTCCCCACTGCCGCTGCCCCAGCCAATAAGAATCCGACCCATCAGCACCGTGCCGACTCTGATCCAGCGATCAAGCCTGATCCAACGGTTCACATCGATCCAGCAGTGCACGTGGATCTAGTGTGTCTATTCGATGGCCTGCCCACGTGGCTGCTGGCAACGGCTCGCAACCCAAACAGGATAGCTTATCATGACTCAGCACCAATATCAGCCAAATGGGAGGGAAGCACTCACGGTAAGGCCAAGATTCAACGAATCTGACTCGAAACATGTCCTGCTTTAGCAATTTTGACAGGATCAGTTGTGCACTGCGCGTTGATGTGGTTTGTGGAGCATTGACGAGAAGATATGTGCAGGGTGAACCATGAATGTTCAGGGTGTGCAAGGTGCGGTGTGTAGAAGATCTGCAGCAAACAACTCCAATCCAGTTTCCTTAGAATTAGTCGGCCCTAGATTGAGCACTTTCGTCCACAACCCACCTCCACCCCCTGACCCCCCACCCTTCATGCCCCCCCTTCCATTATCCTTCTCATCCTTACGGGCTTACCCTCCCCCAATTTGCCCCCCATTCCTTTCCCCCATCATTTCCCCATCATTCTTCCCTTCAATCTCCTTGGTCTTCTCCCCCTTCCCCCCTCTCTTCCCCTCCTCCTCCTCCCCCCTCCGCAGTTCCCCCTGCCCTCCGCTCATCGGATCGTGGCATTCGGCGGCGCATTCTCTCGGCCCAATCAGCAGCTGCCACGTGCCCCCCTGCAGCCAGGCCAGAGGCCGTGGTGGTGGTGTTTGGCAGAGGCGTGAGGGGGAGTGTGGGGGCGATGGTGGCGAGGGACATGGGGGGAGAGAGAGTGGTGGAGAGTGGTATGGGGGGAGAGAGAGTGGTGGAGAGGGGTTTGATGGGGGAGAAAGGGAGGGAGAGTGTGGGGGCGAGTGGGGGAAATGATCTTGGAAGAGAGAGAGTATGCTGTGAGGAGATGGGAGGTGAGAGAGTGGGTAGGATGGAAGAGGGAGGCACGTTGGTTGGGCCAGGCACGATGGGTGGGTTAGGAGGAGAGGCGATGGTGGAAGATGGGGAGGGATGTATGGAAGGGAAGGAGGATGAGATGGATGAGGCTGAGATGGCAGACAGCTGGGAAGAGGAAGATGATGAGGAGGAGGAGGAGGAGGAGGAGGAGGAGGAGGAGGAGGAGGAGGAGGAGGAGGAGGAGGAGGAGGAGGAGGAGGAGGAGGAGGAGGAGGAGGAGGATGGAGATGATGACTTTCAAGTGCTCGTCGATTCAAAGAGGCAAAGCAGATGATGCGAGAGGGGAGAAGGAGCAGGAAGAGGGGGAGAACGAGATGAATGGGTGGGGAGTGCGAGCATGCAGTGTGATGGGGATGCTGGTGCCTCACATGCTGCTGACATGGCGCGTGGTGTATGGTTCCGTATTTCCACGCGTGCGCTGCCAGCACACGTGGCAAGGCTGCTGGGCTGTTGGCACGCTCAGCCGCCCACGCAGCTGCTTGCTCCTGTTGGTGTGGCAGGAAACACATGTGGCAGTGCTGCTCCACATGTACACTCACCTGAGAAAACACCTGAGGGAACACCTGATCTCACCCCTGTTGACAGAGCAGAATGGATTGGAAGGAGTCAGGGTAGAGTGCAGCTTGGTCTGGTGAACCCCGATGTGACACCTGGTGTGACTAATCTGAAGGACGCATCTGGAGCGGTTACTCCGAATGTGAATGTGATGGCAGCTGGTGTGATTAATTCGCAGGGAGCAGCTGGTGTGACAAATTCTAAGGGGGGAGCCGGAGTGGTAAATCTGGATGTGACAGCAGCGGTGGCTCTGGTATCAGAGCTTTCCCATGGGGGGGCACAGCGGATCGCAGGCTTGGCGGAAACGGACCTGCGGGTGAGGTTCGGAAACACGTGGCAGTTTATGAGAGATCAGGTGGGTGGGTAGTGGGGGATGGCGAGTGGGGAAAGGGGGATGGGAGTGAGGCAAGGCAAGGGGGGATGGGGGGGATACGATGGGGTTGGCTTGACTAATCATGCATGGGGGCCTCTCATTCGTGTTGCATCTTTAACACTCTCTTCGTCTATGAAGCTTCTCTTCATCTCAAGTTTCAGTCAAGAACTAACCTTTCTGCCCACCCATGCCCTCTGCCCACCCATGCCCCCACCCATGCCCCCACCCATGCCCCCACCCATGCCCTCTGCCCACCCGTTCGCCAATTGTCAGGCCCAGGCGGAACTGACCCAGCCTCAGCTGCAGCTTCTGCAGGAATCGCTTTATAACAAGGATTTGATTATGTGTGAAACTGCTTATAAAGAGTTCTCTTCTATCGTGGACGTCATTGCTGGACCCAGGGAGAAGCAGCGAGCTGCTGCTCTGTTTTCTTCGCATGTCAGGTATGCAAGGCAGGTGAATGGGGTAGGTGGCAGGGTGACTATTGGGTCGAATCAAATCTCTTTCTGCTCATGTCAGGTATGCAAGGCACGGGGCAGGTGGGTGGCAGGGTGATGAGCACGGACCATGCGGTAACTCAGCAACCATACACATCAGGAAAGCACAGACAATGGTTCATGATCTATGATATGATTTATCCCAGTATCCAACTTCATTCCTTTTTATGCTGCATTGCTCTGCGTTATCCAAATATTTCAGCTTACTTGATCTTCTGTCATCTTACCCACAACACAGAGTGGTGCCGGATCAGCCCTCATCTCGACTCCTCTCCCTGCCCTCTACTGCACGAATCAAGCAGCGCCACGTCATCATTTTCGGGACCGCCGACAGCTGGGGTTGCGCAACCCTCTCAGCCAGCTCAGCATTTGTTCGGGCCGCCCGCCATGCTGGCGCATTGGTGAGATTGATGGAACACCGTCCATGTGCGTTGATGGGCGAGTGAATGGACGGCTAGTATGAAGAGAGCAGTGGGGCTAATTGGATGCTTGGAATGAGTGTGTTCCTACCGCATGTCAGCGATTCAATGGCGATGATTCCGCTGCATCAGCAGCCATGCAGAGGTGCCGGTCGAGTATCTCAAATGTTGTTTATTGATAGGCAAGAGGTTAAATTTCCCCAATTACAGCGTTTATCACCTGATTTACAACGTTTCTTGGTATGCCCTCACTCAATTATGCATAGTATATTCGTTATTCTTGTCCCCTAATAATTCCACCAAACTCCTACCACAAGTGATGATCTTCTCTTATCAAAGCCTACACCGCTTGGCTCCAAGAGCTTGGCGTGCACGAACGCCTGTCACCTTCACACAGCCAATCAGGACTCGCAATCAGAAGCCCCTTGTGGTTCGAATGCGCTGTTCACCAGTAGAAACCCGACCGAACCAAAGCATTTTTTTTTTCACCGACACGAGACCAGACCGTAGCAGTCGCCGCAGCCTAGTCACCGTGCCAGATAATTTCGATTTCGGCTTGGCGGTGGTGGCGGCAGCTTGTCCCGCCCAGTTTCACCCCACATCAGCCACGTCCGACATTCCCACATCCTTCTGCGCGCTTCGATTTCCCCCAGCCATTCGTGTGCTGTTTTTGAATTCTCCTCACCTTGACCCGCGTCGCGTTTGTGCTAGGCTGGTTGAGTGGGTGGTGGTGCTCTGCGGTGGTGCTGTTCGTGTGCTGTGCATCCTCAAGAGCTCTGGCTTCATTCAAAAGCTTTGGCTCCACTCAAAGCATCATAATTCGCGCCTATTTTCCCCGACGACTAACCATTTCTGCTGCTCGAGCATCCATTAGGGTCGGCGCTGCGAGCTACGACCGACATTAGAGCTATAGCGTCACCGCATTACCATGACGATTCACTCAAGCGACTACACGCCACCATGCCACGCCTGAGGCGGCTCGAAAGTAGATCGCCGATTTTCCCTCGAGGTTAGATGACCATAGCTGGCGAGAAGTTAGGTTTGTCGATTCCATTAGCTTTTTAGCAACTCCCTTTCGGGATAATTTATAGCGGCGTAGGTGCATTCCGCGATGTGCTTCAACTTCATCTCATAAACTCAAAACGAAGAATTAAGCCTGCCACATATAATTCCCGACAATGCCCGCAACAGCAACTTCAACGGCCTGCCGTCCTTCCACCCCCGCCAGTAGTGGCGGATTAGTCGCCAACCGTTACCGTCGCATCCGTCTCGTCGGCCGCGGCTCGCAAGGAACCGTGTGGGAGTGCGAAGACGTCATCACCAGCCTCCGAGTCGCGTGTAAGAGCTTTCCCCATGGGAACGCTTCAGTTTGCGACGCGCGCCTCGGTATCTGCGCCGAGCTTTGCGGGTTGAAGATGGTGTCTGGCCATCCTAACATAGTGCGGCTCGTCGAGTTCGCTGTAGATTCTTCCGAGGTCCATATAATCATGGAGCTTGCCCCGGGCGGTGATGATCTACTGTCGGAGGTCATGCGACGCGGTCCGCTCGCCGAGCCGCTCGCCGCTAACGTTTTCCGTCAACTCGCGTCGGCCGTCGCGTTCTGCCACGCGTGCGGCGTAATGCATCGCGACGTGAAGCCCGACAACGTGCTGCTCGTGCGCGTCGACGGTTATTCACAACAGCGCTCGCCGTCCGCTAACCCGTCCGATGAGCGGGGCCGACAGCGCCCGCCGTCCGTCCCTCCGCCGCCGCCGCTAACTCTTCCGCCACGTGACAGCGGCAACCGCCGCAACGCGCTCCTCGCGCCAGCTTTGCAGCAGAGTCCGCCATCCCTCCCGTCCCCGCCGCCGCCTCTGACGCTTCCGCCTGCGCCGCACTCCTCCAGTGTCGCTTCTAACAGCTGCTTCGATAAGAGCACAGCGATCCCCTCACTGGTTGGCACGTCGGGAATAGATAGCCCGGTTTGTTGTAACGACTCGAGATTTAACAGCCCTGTGGCGAATCGCGAACTGTTTAGCAGGATGGATGAAAACTGCAGCAGCACCAGCAGCGGCAGCATGAGTAACCGCAGCAGCAGCAGTAGCAGTAGCAGCGGCGTTAGTAGCAGCGGCGGAAGCAGTAGCAGCAGCAGCAGAAGCAGCGGAGGCAGTAACAGCAGCGGAGCCAGTAGCAGCAGCGGTGGAAGCAGTAGCAGCGGCGGCGGCAGCGGTGTTCACTCGCTGCCCAACAAACGAGAGATCAAGAGTATTTTCTCCAGGAGCTTCCCTAGTTCTTCCAGTAAAAGCACGTCTCTCACGCTCCTCCCCGCAAACCTCTCCGACCCAGCGCGCAACCCACGCTCCCCCTCCCCCTCCCCTTCCCCCTCTCCCTCTCCTTTCGATTCCGCCACCTATTCCGCTCCGTTTCCGAACGCCTCTTCCGCCACGCTAGTTACCGCTTCCCCCGTTGCCCCCCGATCCCCTGCTGCCCCAGTCTCCCCCGACCGCGGAATCGTTGGGGTGAAACTGGCCGATTTTGGCGCATCGATTGCGGTCAAGGGCGGGTTATCTGGGCGTGTAAAAGACCGCGGCGCTGGCACGAGGGGGTATAAAGCGCCGGAAATGGGCGGGAAAAGTGGATACGACATGAAAGCTGACGTGTACAGCATGGGGATCACGCTGTGCGCGATGCTGACGGGTCACATTCCTGACACGCCATTGGTCGACTTCTGCTCGCCCATCTGGAAGGGCATCTCTGCCGATGCAAGGGATCTCATCCGTCGGATGCTCGAGGACGAACCAGATCAACGGCTGAGCTCGTTCGAGGTTCTTGAGCATCGGTGGCTAAATCGAAGCGAGGTTCGGAGTCTAGACATAGCAACTAGGTGCCCTTCGTTATTAGCATCTCTGCTACCATCGCCTTCGCCGTTGTCCTCCCCCTCTCCGGGTAAAGTGGCAGCAGCAGCCGCAAGAAACGCAGATACAGCCGTACCAGCAGACTCTCTGGCTGTACCAACAGATTCATTGGCGTTTGCGTGGACGCCACGTGGCAGCTCGTCGTTTTCGTTTTCGTCGCCGCCTGGTGCAGGGGGTGTGTCAACGCGTCAACGAGGGATCTCGGTTTGCACGAGCTGTGCTTCAATAAGCTGCGCCTGAGCGCTGCAATAACGGCTGTTGTCTAGCTTTGCATCAACGAGCAATGTGCTGCTTGTATTGGATTCGTCCCCACTGGACTATACAACACACACCCCTGCCATCAACACCATGCATGGAGAGCAGTTGTGTAAATATATATAAAAGAATAAAATCCAGCCATGCAAGCAGTTGAGTGAAGTTGAGTCCGATGCTGTTGACTGGTACAGTAGTACTCATGGTCCTTCCTGCGGGTGCAGCTGCGGGCACGCTCTCTTGGCCATGCAGCAACGCTAGGCTCCTAGCTGTGCTTGTCATACAGTAACCTCCTAGGCTGAGCAAGAAAAGGGACGCATCGTGTGATAATTCCTTTGAAACAGATGTTACATTCGAGGTGTACTGATTTGTCTCCAGACTCTTAACAGATTGTTATTGTGCGGGTATGATGTAACTCCAATTTACGTGCCATTCTTCTGTCGTGTTGTACCATTAAGGCGTCTTGTTGATGCTGTTACAAACGCGAATCCTCAGGCCTCCAACGGGAAATCATCTCTCGAAGCACGAGGAAGAAGAGCTGAATGACGATTGGCCAGAATTTAATTCACGAGTACAACGAAACTGCACCACCCATTGTACATGCGGACGAGAACGCCATAAGTGTGTATTCACCTTGCATTTACAGGGTATGGGCGGACGGACCCTCCATTTCTCCCCAATACTGTAGTTCTACCCTTCGGAGCTCTCCCCGCTTTCGAGCCAAAACAGCATCGAGACGAGAGGCCTATATTCCGTGTGTTGGATACAGGATCTTCTATTGTTCCGACGTTGGCAGGGCGTGTCTAACTTTTACAGCCCCACGATGGAGGAACAGCCCCGCTCGCAACCTCAGAAGGGGCGTGCGCCATGATGAAAACCAGAAGAATGCCACTTCGAGAAAGATGGGATCATGAAAGGGATGTTTGGATCCA